TATTTTGTTCCTGAAATGAAATTGCTGCCTGGCGAAACCTGAAACTGCTGCTGCGCAAGTTACCCAGCAGGCTGTTGCTAGGCAACCAAAGAGTGACCGAGTTAGTTGATTCCACCAACCTAGCTTAGCTGGTAGTTAGAGGTGAAGTGGCTAACACCTGAAAACTATCATCATCAGCTATCATTTAAAATACATCAAAGTTTGTATTTTTAAAGTTACAAAACCTGAAAACCTTGAAAGAGTGAAAAAGGAAACAACTTAAAGTGATTTTAGGGCTCCAGCGTTTTTCCTCCAACAGCGTTTTTGAGGTTAAAACATCCCAACTGTCTAAAAGCCTCTGAATGGAGAGCATCTGTTGGTTATTCATGCCCCGTCCGCCTCGTTGTTGATGCAGGAAATTAAACAAATAAACTGAAGATTGAAGTCGGAAATGCAAACCAGTTGGAAATTACAGCCGATTCAGAAACCTCTGAAGGTTTTTAATCTGCAGCTTCTCTGAACAGAACCAGCTGGGAAGTGAGGCAGAAAACACAATCAGGGGGAAAATTAACTCCTGGAGGATCTAACACAGAAAAGTGAATAAAAACAGAGAAATGTGTGACTGTGGAGCCGGAGGAGAGATGGAGAAATGTTTCTGTTTTCCTCGTTTGCTGCTGAAGGGAAAGTGGAAAGTTTGTTCCACTGCATGGCGTCTCCAGAGGAAGAGGACAGCTCTCCTTTGTTTCCTCATGGCCGCCTGTCAGAAACCTGCAGGCTCTGCTGGGATTTTAACCTTTAGAGCCAAAAAGCACAAAGTTTCATATTTTATTAACAGATAATTAAATTCTGACAATATGGCCTTTATCTTTATCTCTTTCCTTCCTTTTGTCCTCGTTTCCTGTAATCATCCCTTCATTCTCTCTCATGCCTCCCCTTCCTTTCTTATTCCTTTTTCTTTTCTTTGTTTTTTTTTCCTGAGCCTTTCCTTTCTTCCATCCTTGTGTCCTACCTTTATTCCTCTCTTCTTGTCCTTCATTTGTTCCTTCCTTTCTAACTTCCTTCTTTCCTTTCTTATTTGTGTCCAACTTTAATTATTTAATTCTTGTCCTTATTTCATTCCTTCCTTCTTTCCTTTTCCCTTCCTTCCTTTCTCCCATCCTTGTGTCCTACCTTCATTCCTGACATCCTATCTTGTTTTCTCTCTTCCTCCCATCCTTCCTTTCCTTTTGCCTTCCTTTCTTTCATCTTTGTCTCCTGCCTTCTTCCCTTCATTCACTCCTTCCTTTTCTCCTTCCATCCTTTCTTTCATTGTTCCTTCCTTTCTTCCAGCTGTATTACTTACCTCCCTTTATTCCTTCCTTCTTTTTTCTTCCATCCTTGTGCCCTACTTTCATTCCTTTCCTCTGTCCTTACTTTGTATCCTTGGTTGAGTCCTACTTGAAACCGAATAGTTTTTCTATTGATCAGCACACAAATATTGAACATTTATATAATTTTCTCCAATATATTTGTAAATTAATAACTTTAAAACTAGAGAGTAAACCAACTAATCTTTTTTATTTTTATGGGCAGAATTAGTTTCTAAAACCAATAAAGCTCAATATGCTGCAGATTTGAGCCCCAAATATATTTTCCTAAAGCGCTTCAGCGTTTTTTTTTCTTTATTTAAAGCGAACAGTTGCAGAAGTTTTTTCTTCCATAGAGGCTGCAGTCCTGCCCCGTGGCCACTAGGGGTCACTGAATCCTGTACTCTGCGGTTAGCGGAAACCCGTCAGGAGTTTTTCTCGTGTGTATTTCAGCCACTTCAGCTTCATTATCTCACTTGGTTACCTCATCATTAGGAGTTCAGTCTATTTAAGCTGCTGATGGCCCTTCAGCGTCTCTGTTTAATATTGTTTGATGAAAAACGCCTGTTGCTTGGTAACAAAGTGAATCAACTCGTTAGATCTTTTTTTTTGTTTGTTTGTTTGTTGTTGTTTTTTTTGTTTCCAGTTATGGAGGGAAACAGCATTTCCTGATTAAATGGGAGAGCATGAGAAAAAGAAACTGGGAGTTTTAAAGGAAGATGGAAAGATTTGCATCTATAAAAAGGAAATCTAAGATGAAAATGTTTTTAAAATAATTAATATTTTACTGGATAAACTCCAACAGAAATCACAGGAACCTCAGAAGCTTTTTCAGCTTAAATACAATGAAAAGCAGCTCTACTAAGACATATTCCAGATTTAATGAAAACCAGGCATCATTTGCCTTCCATTCCTCAACGAAGCATATTTTTATGGAGGACTGATCCTACCAAAATTGTCAAAAATAAATGTATATTAAAAAATGTTAAAAATGGCTGGATAAAGTAAAAAAAACTGACAAATATTGAATCAAAAAAATTTAAAAATAGGAACTTTCCCAACTTATTTCATTATAGGTGTGATATAAATTAATATTTGCTAATCATTTTTTAACATTATCGCTATTAAATGTTTCTACTTTATTTCCATGTATTGTTTTATTAATTTACTTATTTTTATTTCATTTTTCTTAAATATAATGAATCATCTTTCTGTTTTCTGCTTTACCCGATTATTTACAGATTTATTTTTTTACCATATTCCTCATGTTTTTTCCTCATGTCCTCCTTGTAAGAGTCTTAGGAAGTAAAAAATTAAGTACAAAGTAGAAAAACAATTGAAATTCAAAACTGAAATAAAACGTTACTTTAAATTAAAAGTATTAAATGCAGAATATGAGACAAAATAAGTGGGAATAGAATATGACAATTGTTTTAAAAACAAGGGAATAATTACAAAATGTGAGAATAATGACAAAATTAATTATACGAAAACTGAACAATAAAATAAAATGTTTAAAAATAACTACAATAAACTATATATTAACTAGTGAATATGACAAAAATAGAAATGAAATGTGACAATAAATTTAATAAACTAATAACAAATAAATACATAATGTGAAAATAATGAGAAAAAAAATCTTATATTATAAGTAAAGTAATCAGTAAAACAAAGCAAGTGAAAATAAAATGTATATAATAGTGATAATGTTAGACAATAAATAACATTTATTCATATGACACTGTTTTTATGTTTTTATTTCCTGAATGCAACATTAAGCACATTAAGTATATTATCAAACCATTTATTTACTTCTGTACTTATTGCCAATTTTGGCAGCATCAGTTTTCCATACATTTTGTGTCTGTGCATCACCTAAAGCCTTTGTAAAGCTGTTTTACTTTAAGGGTTTTGAGCTTTTCCCCCTTCATGCTTCACTCTGAGTCATGTGGTCTGAGCTCATTCACTCCACCCAGAAAGTCTCTGCTGCAGGAAGCAAAAACCGTTATGATCCGTTACTTTAACTGTCTGTTGGAATACACTGCAAAAACACAAAATATTACCAAGTATTTCTGGTCCAGGTTTTAGCACAAATATCATAGTACACTTCAATAATGCTGCAGCAAACGACTATTTTAGTAATTGATTAGTTTGACAATTAATCGGGTAAAAAAATTAGCACATTCAACAGATTTCTCATTTATCTTAAGCTGTTTAAAAATAATTTTAGAAATACATTAAATGTTGCAAATAAACAATGCAATGTCTTACTTAAAAATAATATATATATATATATATATATAAATATATATATTGCATTTTAGGCATTTTATTGCCTAAAATGCATTGAAATTCTTTTTTTGTGAATTTGAACAAGGTGAAGTTAAAACTGCTACTTGGGAGTTTTTGGTAAACAAAAAACAAACAAACAAACAAACAAAAAACAAAACAAAACAAAAAAAAAAAACAAAAAACAAAAAAAAAATATATATATATATATATATATATATATATATATATATATATATATATATATATAACATCATAACCAATGTATTTTTATCCTGCGGTGAATATGTTGATTTTCAGTCTATATACTCCAGATAACAATTAATTGATTACTAAATCAGTTGATTCTTTTAATACTTAATTAATCACAATTAATAAGAATTTTTTTTAATCTTTAATTTGCAGAATGTATGTATTTTTTTGTACAGTTTTGGCTTAATTCATGCTCTAAATATGTTGTTTGTCAGCAAATGGCCATTTTTTTCAAACTCGTACATTTCAGCTAACAATTAATTAATTTCTAAATTAACTGACAATTATTTAAATAATCAATTAATCACAATTTATCTGATTAATTGTTTCAGCCTGACATTTGGAATCAGACAAGACTGACTTATTAACTTTTCAGCAAGATATTAGAGTTTGTTCTAAGTTAATAATTCCTTAATATTGAAGAAAAAGTATGAATTCCAGTGGTAGATTATTTCACTTATAACAAGAACTTATTTTAATCATTAAGGAATAGTTTACTTAAAACAAGCACTTATGCCCTGCTGAAAAGTTACTTTTAAGTTAGTTTTATCTTATTTCAAATACAGGCGATTAATCATGATTAATCAATGGGTGAAATACCTGTAAACACATTTTGTCATTGATTAATCGTTAACTGGAGTGTACAGAGTAAAAAACATATTGAATTAAAACAAGCTCTTACATCCTGCTGAAAAGTTACTTGTAAGTTAGTTTTGTCTTATTTCAATTGCAGGGCTGAAACAAATATTTGTGATTAATCGATGGTTCAAATAATTGTCAGATTATTCAGTAGTTGATTAGTTAACTGAAATATCCAGGCTTAAAAATAAACGTAATTAAGCCCAAACTGGACAAAAACATCTTTGCTGTGAGTTTGTTTTAGTGTAATATTTACAGTAGAATCAAGACCAAAACACTTGGTGAGATGTTGTGTTTTTGCAGTGTAGATTGATTTCCGCAGAGCTGAATGGTGCCAGCTGGTTTTGATAAAGTGACTATCAGTGTTTTTATCACGTTTTGTTTGCTCTCCATCTACAAGTTTTATGCTCTTTTCAGCTCATCATTCACCTTCTTTTCTCCTCCCACCCTTCCTCTTCGACCTCTGGCTCCCTGCTCCTCCTCCTCCTCCTTGCAGTGTGCTGCCAGTCTTTGAGCTGGAGAGACACTCAGACAAACCCTGCAAACACTTTTTCTGGGGGAAAAAACAACTTTCTTTGCTTCTTTTATTTTCTGGACTTCACCACAGAGCGATGGCGTTTTTCCTCAGACAGAAAACTGCGATGCTCCAAATCTACCTCCTGGCTTTTGTCGGTAAGCACTTATTACTGCTGCAGAATAACGACACTTGCCGATGATTCATACTTACCGTTCCTCTGTTTCTCCGTTTCTATTCCTGCGCTCCAAGCCGCAGTCCGAGCCCACAGCCGGCTGCTGCCAGGCTCCTGTAACTTTGAGTCCAACACCTGCGGATATACGTCAGACGCAGACTTTACCAGCTGGACTCTGCACAGAGACGGTACTTTTATTCCCTACTGCATCTTTAAAGCTACTGTGTGTAACTATAACCAGAAGAACATGTTTTTCCCCTACATTTGTTAAGATTGTCACCATGTTGTGACAGTATTACATAATAAATATCGATTTCCTCCACATCCTCCCTGAGCTGCTCGCGACCAAAAACAACCAATCAGAACAACTTACAGGAAACCAGCTATGCTAGCTGAAGCCTTCAGGATCTGGACGCACAATCCCTGCCATCAATGTGCAAAATGTGTTTTTTCCACATTTGTGAAAACTGTCACTATGTTGTGACATTATAATATATAACAAAGATCGATCTCCTCCCAGAAAAAAAAACAAAAACAAAAAAACAATAAGAACAAACTTACCGTTTTCTCACCGTCAACGGCGGCCATGCTAAATACCCTTAGCATTTATGACAGGCTATGCTAGCTGCAGCATAGCAGAGAGCAAAATATGTAGTTATAACATTGTCTATTTTTTATATTATGTTATAATTCTTTTAATGAATAATATGTCATAATTTAGATCAAAGATTATACAGATTCTTCCGTACGATCAGCACATGTGCTAAGATATGTTTTTTCTCCACATTTGTTAATACTGTCACTACGTTGTGAAAGTATATTTATATAATAATGATTAATCTCCTCCATTTCCTCCCCCTATTACCAAAATGAACCGACCAAAAACAACCAATCAGAACAAAGAACTTAACATTACAGAAAAACTGTTTATCTGCAGTCATCTATGGCTATGCTAACTAGCCTTAGCATTCATGACATGCTGTGCTAGCTGCTTCTGGTAGCTTCTAGCTACATGCGCTGAAGAAAATCTTCCAGATTATCATTAAAATGTACATCAGCAAAGTGTAACATATTTATTTACATTAATTAAAATAACACTTGGCATATTTTCCAAGACAATGTTATAACTTTCTTAGTAATAATAATTGTCATAATTTAGCTCAAAGATAGTAATTAGAAAGTACATAGTAACTACAAGTCTAAACCGGAAGTGATCCTGAACCGCCATCTTGGTAGGCAAGCACAGAGTAGTCAAAAACTGTAATGGAGTAATAGTTGTAATGTGCTTATATTGTTCATAAATCAGATAAGAAAGAGGCGAGAGCTAAGATGGTGGCTTATTTTCCGTTGTCACAGTAACTCCACAGCAACTGTCATGGCAGTTACAGATGGCTTTTACAATTAGACACAAAAACAAAAAGGAAGAGGAGCTCAATTTTTCTTCTGATTATCTGCAGCTTCAAGGATGCAGAATGTAACTTCAAGATGCTGTTATTGCTGCTGATTTTTTTTGGCTGAAGCACTAAAGCCCTCTGTAGGAAAAGGTCCATCTGGTCTGCATTGACTGCAGCATCAGTGAACATCTGGAGAGAGAGAAACGGCACATTTTGGCTTCCCCTCGGGTTTGTAGTGCAGCTCATATGAATGAGCTCAGTACATCCCCATATCAAAGTTATGTCAGTGGTTATTTGTGTAGCTCACAGCCTGATGAATGGAGCTCAGATCATGTGATTACAGTGATTACTCTGTCATTTGTTGTGCATTCATGTTTGTGTGCTGAAGAACAATATTCACGCTCAGAGTTAGGAAGAATGGCTACATGGACCTCTGGAGCTAGCGCAGACAGCTGGACTGTGTCAAGTTAACTGTGACATGGAGTGTGGCCTACTTCAAGGCCACACTTCAGGTCACTTTATTCTTGACGTTTAAAGATAAGCAAAGGATAGTTTCTTTTAACCTCACCATAATTGAACATTAAGGCAGGAAAACCGTAAATACATATGGTGGTTGGGGAATCCTGCTGTTTGAAACTGCTTTAACCGCTGCAGTCCCAAGTTTATGTTTAGTTTTTTAAACCAAATACACCTGGACACGTATGGGTTGGCAACAGAAGTAAGCCGGTTGCAAAAACAAACACCAACTGGCCATAAATTAACACTTTCCTGTGATGCTAAAATGCTTGCTAGCTAGTGAACATGCTTAATATTCACTTGCTAGCTACCTAGCTCAAATGTTGTTTTCCTGATGGAAAAATCCAGAGGAAAACATAAGCTACATATAATATACAAGACTAAATTATAATAGTGTATCAGTGCCGTTGTAGATAGAAATAAAACAAGAGTAAATTTCCACCACAATACTTAATCTTGGAATTTACAAAAAGAAGAAAGGCATTTTCTGCATTTCAAAAAGTGGAAAATGTGATAGCAAAAACTCAGAAATTTTGACATTTATTTCTGAACTTTTCTAGTATTTGAAGCTTCCATGTTTTCTTTTTTTCTTGAAAATGTCTTTAGATGAACTCTGAAATAAACATGTTTTCACCACAGCTTGCTACCGTTTCCGAGAGGAACGGCCATATTGGATCCTGAAGTCGATGTTTGAAAAACTCTACGACTTCCAGAATATAAAATCCAACTTCCTGCAGGCAGTGCAGTTGATTTTCTTTCCTTCGGAAATCGGGATTTCTGAGTTTTTACTACAAATGAAACATTTGAAGCTTTAGTATGAGCTAGCAACCAGTCAGAGTTATGCTAGCAGCTAACCACAGAATGCTAATGTTTTAGCGTCTGCTCTACTAATTAATGTGAAAACTTTTGTATTTTACAGTTGCTTACATTGTAACTGTTAGCTTAAGTAAACTCTGTTGCTCTGGGCTTAGCTTTGTAATGTGACCATAACTTGTTTTAGCTTTTTTAAGCTTAATTTATTAAATAACTACTGTTTGGAAATTCTTAGGTGCTAAAATAGATATTCTGTAATCATCATTGCATCACCAGTAAACCAGACAGCGCTGGAAAAACTTCTGTAAGCTTTTCTGTGTTTCCATCCATCATCATTGGTTGAACTTAACTAAAAACTGCCGTGCTGCAGCAGCATGACTCATGACTCAGTCGCCTTTCCTCCATCTGTTTCCATCCTGGTTGCTATGTCCTCAAGCTTGTTATAAAACCTCAGTGGCGGCCATTAATTGTCGATTTCTTCTCCTTTCTTCTGCTTTTGTTTATGCTCTTTTTACACCAAACAGCACGAGCAACGCCATGTTAACTACTGGATGCGGTTAGTTGATATTTATTGAGTTTCCAATTGAGTGGCTGTTTTGAGTCTCGATTCTTGGGTGTTTTCCTCTCATTCTGCGGAGCTGCAGGCTGCAGAGCATTCCACAGGGGCAAATAATAAATGACAGACCACTGAGAGCTCAAATGCCCCGAGGCTCACAGGGGTCACGAAGGAGGATTTCATGCTGAACTGAGTCAGAGACTTATGACTCTGGGTTTTAAATCCTGATCTGGATTACCATACTCACTTCTGTATATTGTTTCAGAGACTCTAATATAAATAGCATTTAGTTTGTTGGGGTTTTTCCCAAGGGGAAATCCTTTCTCCTTTTTGACTGAAATTAGCTGTATCGTCCATATTTCAGTATGTTATGTAACTTAATGTATCAGAAATTATTCGCTACTTCTACTGTTTTGTTTTACGTGTTAACTGGGCGCTGAGGGACGGATGCTGCATTTGTTTTGGATAAGATGTCGGAGCTAGGAATGCACACCGGAATACGGAGCGTTGGAGCTGGAGAAAGTTCTGGAAATTATGTTGCTTTTAAAGCTGCAGTATGTAACTACGATACAGAATATGAGGTGAAGATTGATCTCCTCCACCTCTACCTTGAGCTACTGAAGAAAAGCATCGCTCCCGACCAGAAACAACCAATCAGAGCCAGGAGGCGGGTCTTAGCGCTGCCAATCATTCTCATATACTAACTGCCAAATGTGCCGGTAGTGCAGAAACAACTTAACATTACAGGAAAACCGCTTGTCATCAATGATAGCCATGGTAATTAGCCTTAGCATTCACAACAAGCTATGCTAGTTGTAGCATAGCATAGAGCAATGGGTGGATTGGTTGTTTCCTGTTAGCACTGGGAGAAGACCTGAATGCAGTAATCATAAATATTAGTTTTGCTAAAGCTAAAGTGCTATACCAACATGGTATTTAGCTGAAGCTAATGCTAAAGCGCTAATTTCAGTCATCTATGACACAACATGTGTTACAACACAGTATATTACCCTCAAGCGGATTAAATTTGCTATTGCAGTCCTGTATGGTTTGATTCTTTGTAATGGTTTTAGTTTTATAGTTGTTGAGTATTGCTAACTCTGTTGCTAATTTTATTTAGCCTAACTAACCACTTTAAAGTGGTCAGGAGGCACACAGTGCATCTGTAGATTTTAAACTACAGCCTGTAGTTTTGGATAACATGAGGAGAGGATACTGAACTGCTGCATAAACAGTTTCCTCACTTCAAAATAAGAGCATGGTATATATGCCGTTTATATATGACGATATAAATAGCTAGCTACTTGAAGAATTCTTAACAGCTCATAACTAAAATTTCAACACAGATGTTGAACTTTATTCAATGGAAATTTATGAAAAATTAGCAATTTAGAATTTATTTTAAGAAATGTAATTAGGGTAGCTAAGTGTGCTAAACATTCTCGAAGTTAGCAAAAACGCTAAGCAAACAATTAGCATATTAGCAGAAGTAACCACTGACTGTTCTCAGTGTCTAGAGATGTAAAGCTTCTGTTCACATTGAATCGATAAGTGGATAATATTGCGTTAGATAATAGTTTTATATAAATATCCTGTCTATTCTGTTTTATTTAGGACATTTTGTTGCCGTGGAAACCGCGAGCGACGACGCGGAGGGCAGCTCAGGTTCTGGTATCGAACCAAAGAGAGAAGCGACAGGAATCCTGCTGAGCCCGTCCCTGGAGCACGACGAGTGGAGCTGCGTGCGGCTGGTGTACCAGATCGCCGAGTCGGGTCACATGGAGGTTCTGAGGCGCAGCGAGGGGCGGAGCTTCGACACGCCGCTGTGGAGCAGCAGGACGCCATCAGACAGCTGGGTCATCGCCAGCGTGGATCTGCACAACGCCACCGAGCCGTTCAGGGTGAGGAGGGGGCCGCCTCCAACCGCACATCCAACCATACAGACAACCATCCAACCATAAAGACAACCATCCAACCGCACATCCAACCATCCAACCGCACATCCAACCGCACATCCAACCGTACATCCAACCATACATACATCAAAACATCCAACTAAACATCCATCAATCCCTCATAAAACCCAATCAATTGTTGTTTTATTCTAAATTTCCACCTTATTGATTATTGTTCTCCGTAGAGTCTAGTTATTGGACCATTATTGATGAATACAGTCAGAACTCTGCTGCTGCAGCAGAACCTCCTGCAGCCCGGTTCCCCACGTCTGTGTAAAATTAGTCCAATGCGCAGAGCTTTTATCGTAGCGTAAACACGGAGCTGGTGTTTACGCTGTGAGCGAGGCAGAGCCCGGCGGACTGGACCGGGACCACGATGATGAGGTGCCAGGCCTCCGCCATGTGTGGGCCCCTCATCACATAAACACACCGGCAGAGTCCTGCGCCGCCTCGGCCCTCTAACGCCTCTCTGTCAAAGAATCTCTGCATGCATGTTTTCAATTAGTGCTAATTTACGTTAAACCTGCTGCTGTCACTTCTCTGGGTGTTCCCCTCTCTTTGTGAGCAGATTGTGATCCAAGGTCGGGCTGGAGCGAGCGCAGGGAGCAGCGTGTCCATCTTTGAGATCCACATCACCCCCGGATACTGCCTGGGTGGGTCACTGCACTTCTTCTGCTATTCACATCTCTGCTCACATCAGAAGACAAACAACATCCTGATGGACAACAGCTGCTGCTCGTTTCTGCAGCTCCAGCACTAAGAAAACAAAATAAAACAAAACAAAAGAAGCAACAGGGCGAACCCTTGTTTTTACAGCATTGTAAATAGAAAAAAAGGGAGTACATTGCTGCCAAAAATCTTGAAATTTTGAAATTAATTAAAAAAAATATTGTAGGAAACTTAGAAAGTTCCTAGTTTGATAAGTCAAAGATTTGCTAGAAAAATATGGATAAGTCTGAGATTAATCTCACACGTTTTCTAGAAAAACACATGTAAATTTCTGAGTATGAAAAGTTGAAAATTTGCTAGAAAAAATGTCAGAAATTTTCAGATTAATCTCAGAAAAATAGGAAAAACAACATTTCTGAGTGTGAAAAGTCAAAAATTTACAGGAAGAAACTTGGAAAGTTGTGAGTTTGAAAATGAAGAAGCTTCTTTAGCAAATTGCTCTGATTTCGTCATGAATTGAAGACAGTAATACGACCACATTAGACAATTATATTTAATAAACTGCATTTATCTTATGAAAATTAACAGAAATAAGCATGTGGAATAAATTATGTGTCACTGAGTTTCAGTTTTTCAGTAATTTCTTATATTTTAATCTCTAAATGTTGCTTTAACCAACTCTTCCCAGATTAACGGGCAGCTACAGGGTCACGTCATTGTTGATACCGATGGTTTTGTTTAGTTTTTGTCCACACTGCAGGTTAATTTCGGTTCTTCTGTCTCCAGACTGCGATTTTGAGGAGCCTCACCTGTGCGGCTACAACAACCAGTGGAACGTGAACATGAACTGGTACGTTGGCGGCGGCGGAGTCCAGCTGGTCCACAACGGCATGCCGGACGATCACACATACCACAACAGGACAGGTGAGGCGGAGAGTCCAGCTGCATGCAATGCCTTTAATTCTGTACTGACAGTAACACTGAAACGATTAATCGTGATTAATCGATCATTGAAATAACTGTCCACTAATTTAGTAACCGATTAATCGTTAACTGGAGGGTACAGTCTCTACAAGAGGCCATCTGCAGAAAGAACAATATAATCAAAGCAGCAATTAAGCCAAAAATTGTATAAATATATTTACATTTACATTTAAGATAAAAAACTTCTTGTTTATATTGTACCCAAAACTTATCAAGTCATCTAGTTTTAGCTTCAAATTCCATCCAATTATGAATCAATTAATCCAAATAATAATCAACAGATCAACCAGATGAAGCAGGAAGATAATAATTTTTCATGTTAGAAATATTTTTTTTTTTGCTGCAGATATTTCCTTTACTACAAATAATCAAGCTATATTATTGTCTTTTAGGCAAAAAAATGTTTATTTCTTATTTAAAAAGGAATTAAATTATTTGCTTACTTGTATTTTATATACATATATTTCTAATAAGGTGTAAAAAAGGCTTCAGTGGTTGAACAAAGGCTTCGATTAACTGATTAATCAATTAATCAGTTAGTTGAAGGCTACTCAATTAGTCTTTGATTAAGGCTAATTAATCAGAGGCTAATTAGACTAAACTGATGGATAATCAGCACTATTGATTAAGTGATTAATCATCACATTAATCAATTACTAATTGACACCCAAACAATCTGTTGAAATGAATAAATAAAGCAGTTAACTGTTGCTCTCTGTCTGTTTTCCACGCCATCAGCAGCTCTGTGTGTCTGTGAAACAAAAATCATGACTCAGCATCTTTCACACGTTATATTTAGACTGAAACAAACCAGCAGATTATGGGACTTCACAGCTGGAAACCTGTAATCTGGAGCATCTGACTGGATTATAGTCATTTAGCTAACCGCTACAACCCGAAGCCGCTGACGGCGTCGCCGTGGTGCAGAGAAATCTTCCTCCAGGTTTGCTCGTCTTCCTCAGGTCACTTCATGTACGTCGACTCCAGCTACGCCAAGACGTTCAAAGAGGTCGCCAAGCTGGTGTCTCCCATGGCGACGATGCCGATGTCCGGCTGCCTGAGCTTTCAGTACCAGCGAAGCGAGGAAAGAGGGAACATGTTCACCGTTTTCACCCGGGACCGCCTGGGCCAGTACCAGGAGCTGTGGAGAGCCGAGCCGGACAACCGGGTCGACTTTATCAGCCCCCCAGGAGAGTGGATACCTGTGCAGGTGGACCTGAAGGCTCCATACCCAGTGCAGGTCAGGAAACCACAGCTTTAACTGATACATACACTGCTGTGACACCAGGTCAGGCGTTTGGGCTCAGTAAGAGTCCAACAGTCTCCATAGCATACGGACCAACAACCCTTTAGTCACACATCCATTGGACCGTTTGGGTCAACCTGCTGCGTCCCACAACACACTCCACTGATAGTTAGACAGAAAGATGTTCCTGCGTGCCTCACATTTGTTATCGCACTAGTGTGATGCCATGTCAGGCGTTTGGGTCCAACTGGTGATTGGCTCTGTGGTTCGGCACCAACCCATGCCATAACATTCAGTGGAAACGAAGCACAAGACACCTGAACTCTTCTACTGGAGACAGATGCCAATCCCAAACGACTGGAGCTGCTTCTCATCCTGGCACAAAAAGCAGAGATGAAACTCTGAGGTTCCTCAACCAGACTCTCCTCTGTCCATGAAGAGTCTCTGGTTCTGTCCACTGCCAACCGGACTGAGGAGCAGAGGCAGAGGATATCTCACTCTCCTCTTTTTTTTACAGTAAATCCACATTTCCTTCTGCTCTGGTTGCAATGAATATGCACACAGGAAACATGCAATATTTTCCAGATTTGTGGCAGAGCTGCCATGCAGCTTTATTTATGTCTTTCTGTTTGTCTCTGTGGCCTGCAGGTGGTTTTTGAGGTGGGCTTTAACAGCCCGAGAGGCGGACATGTTGCTCTGGACGACATTTCCTTTTCTCCAGAGTTTTGTAACAAAGACACAGGTGAGCTGTGGACTTCTGTCTTCACCACGAATCCCATCAAGCCAACAAAACACCAGGAGAGCCGCAGAAACGATTTCTGCCAACATGCTGATCCCTGGCATTACTTCCACAGAGCCAACCTTCGATCCGTCCATCGCCAACTGTGATTTTGAATCTGGTCTCTGCCTCTACACCCAGGACCGGAGCGTCGCATCGTCCTGGAGGAGAGTGTCGGTGAAACCCAACATATTCAGGAATGGAGACCACACCACAGGGGCAGGTGAGGGAAACCTGG